AAATTAATGAATAAAACGTAGTAAATTTTTCAAATTACTTTGGGTTATCTTTCTGAATGACGTCCCTTGTCTGTCCTGCACCTAGTCATCGATCCAGCTATTGTCTTATAATATCCATAGAAATATATAATGTCCAACGATTTTACATGATTTTAACATTTAAAACAAACACACTTTACTCCCAGAAATTCCCAGTGAAAAAGACCCACATTTTGGACTGATAATTATCTACTGTAAAGCTATTATTCCAAATACACGAAAAAATTTTCTCATTGGTTGGCATTTTCATCGACCTACATACTATCTAAGGCTCTCAGTAATAGTTTGTAGTTGATATTTCAATTGATACTAAAGTGATTGACTAAATGCGATTCTGATAACATTGTAGTTATCACAGCATTGACAGCATTAATATTTTTCACGTACGTTAAAGGATAGAAGCACCATTATTTTTACCAATCGTACTCTCAGAAACGGGATTTTTATTAGCTAAACTAATCAGTAATATTATTCATAGCTCACCGTAGAAATTTGAGTCTTCAAATCCATGTTTGTCCAGAATTATACGCGTTTGAAAGTTAAAAAGACGAGTCGTTTTTTCTTGAAACACTGTCATATATCAAAATGACATATAGAAATAAGAAAAGAAATTCATACTTTGAGTTATTTTTGTAAGAATTATGCGGTTTTCGTATATTTTTAGTACTTCTGAGGGAGTCGAGCCGTAGAATACTATATAATAATAGTGTGCATTGAAAACAGTTGGGAGGTTATTATTGAAGTATAATCAACCTGCAACATCAAAGAGATTTTCAGCCTTAGGTTTACATGTGTGGATAAGGTAAACATACTTAACTTTGCATTTCTCGGTCCTTTTATAGCCAAAAAGACTGTTAAATAATACATCTTAAAAGAAAATCCTTAAAAACAAGCCGTATCGAAAAAAACCTATCCTCCTTCACCCTCCTTGAAGACGCCAGTAGTTTTAAATTTTCATTTAATACAAAAACTATCCCTCTAGAATAAAAAATGGTTGAATCTAGGAGTAGGTGTGAAACTGGACATTTTACTGTCGAAGTTAAGATTTTTGAAAAGCTGTCATTCTTTCGAAAAAAAAATGCATTATTATATTCTTCAACCAAATTTTGGATTTTGTGTGAAAACTTCTCATCGCTCCATCCTGATTAACCGCCAGGTGCAAATTATGCCAGAAACAAAAGTTTGACGTAATTGTCGCAAATAGGCTTACTCTTTTCTATTCAAGCAAAATAGTATTTTACACAAGCATTGATAACTAGTCTTCATTAAGCAATACCGGTTTTAAAGATATGATTAAGTGGTAATTGCGCTATAAACATGTATATCGTACAATACCAAGCATGACTTGATATTTCTATACATATTCATCTATAATACGAATATGTTATAGTTTATATAATAAATAATTACTTCATATGATTAGCCTAAATTAAAATTTATCACGACGATCGATGGAATCATATCAAATAGTATATTTTTGAGGAAATACCTGCCAAAATCTCTATAGCTTTAAGAGACTAACGTCATCGGCAAGATCGATCTAAAGTCTTCAAATGAAAAATTTAGATTTGCTACCGAATTTTTATGATATGCAAATCCAAATTCATCTTGATGAGCCAAAAATTCTAATTTTTCAATATTAATTGAACCCTGAAGACTACAATGTCTTTTTGACGACCCTTTTATTACAGTCATGCTATTAATCCTGTTTTATACGCCCACACATTAGTGTATAGGATGAACCCTATTGAAAATCAGACGAATCCAAAAATATTTACTATGAGTTATTGCCCTTGTTCTTGAATTGTTTGTGGACACGATAGAGAGCTGATTTCTTGATGGATTTTGACGGTGCGAGTGTTTGTAATCATCGATTAAAAATCAGACGAATCGAAAAATATTTACTATCAGTTACTGCCCTTGTTCTTGAATTGTAAGCTGTAAACTTAACCCATGAAATATGAAAATTTCACTCTCAGAAACATTCATTTACTGATAACTCTTGTCAACCCCCCGGACAAATTAGCTGCCATTACAAATGTGGGCGTATTACGATGGCATCGCTATTTTGGGTATTTTTTGTGCGGAAGTACTAAATCCACGGAATATTATTATTTCCCAAGAACAATACGGTGTCACGACTAGATCTCCTATACCACATACCATGGCATAACTTCCTCACAACTGAATGCCAACCTGGTTCACAGTAAACTAATGTCACGTAATAAATTGTTCCCACATGGATGTCAGTAACTTTGAGACATTTAGAAAACCTTTTTTTTCGGTTCAAAAATAGGAATAAAGAATATTTTTATTTACACACAAACGATATTTCAGCTTATTTTGAATTTATTGCGAAAAATAAAATAGTCCATATTTCGACTTTCACTCATTTCAGTTGATTTGTCGACATCGTATTAAGACGCCAATGATTTGCTGCGATCAGGTGCACTCGGACGAGCTATTTTATCCATGTATACCATACATATAATAACGTGCTTGACGCAACCAAAGGTTCCTGGACTGATAAACCGACTGGGAGGATTGGGATGTAGACGACCACATAATCTTGAATGCAGTTTCCTGACGGACGTACAACCGACACGACTAATGGCCATATATGAATAGATTAAGGTTGTTGGCCGGACCAACAACCGACGTCAACTTAGTCATGAGTAAATGAGATTGCTTGACGACCATAGACGCCCATATTTTCACGAATTGATTCAGATTGCTTGGCGGACAAACGTTTGACATGATTGGATTTGATGTCATAGACATCCATATATTCACAAATGCATCATGTCAGTTAACGGCAATTAATATTTAATATTTATATTCATGGAAAGATTTAGACTGCCCGGACAAGGTCCAGAACAATAGGACGTAACTCCATTTATTTCATTTTATTTCCCTATCGTAACATACATACAACCGACATGATTGACCTACATGGCTTTTTAACTAGTCAGAATTTGTGTTGACAATTAGAATGAAAATACTGTTCTAATACATGGACAATGAAATGATGTAGTAATCAGATAATAATCAAACCAATAAACCTGTGAAATTGAAATGATTACGTACTATTGATGGAGCCAAGTAACAATACAACTTGCTATACTCTTGGGACATTCTTCAAATTGCTTCAATACAATGTGTATGTACTCTCTTCAAACCTTGTTAGTGTAATCGCTCAGTAGCATTGTGCATTGAAAACAGTTGACTTGTGGTTTTGAAATGTCATTTTCTTCAGTTCTTTGATTTTTCTAAATTAGCACCTTAACGTAATCCTTGACTCCGAGTGACATTTGCGGCATTTTATTTGAGTCTTGAATATAAGTTTATTTGTTTATTGTCTTCAGAAGTACCAAAAATTAAAAAAAAATATCTCACACTATGAATTTCCTTTCCCTTTTCTATTAATGACGATTTGAAGGCTCGACGATGAGCTTTGAACACTTTAATTGGCTTAACTAAAAAACAGTTTCCGTTTCTGAGACTACGGTAAGATTGGTCAACAACAACAAAAATGGCGCAGCTAACTTTTTAACTCGGGCAAGGAATATCAGTAAAATTTATTTTAATTCAGAGAATTGAGAATGGATAAGAGGAATGGGCTGGTATCCCAAACAGCGCTGTCGACGAGCTATATTTGAATAGATATGCTAAAGCTTCGTAAGAACACCAAGGGGAAAGTTATCGATAAGGCGTCATGCTAACCTACATGTATATAAGTCGGAAAAACTAAGGGATGATCCACCACATCTGACCATTTTCCAAATACTTAATATTGCATTTTAATAATTGATTCACCCTTCATAAAAATATGACCATATAACCTTCAACATACAATTGCAGATGATGCAATTTAGTTAAATCACGCAAGGTCTTGGATATATAATATCAAATGCGATGTAACTTGCTCTGGTGCCAACAAGTATAAGTAGTCGACAGAACAGCTGTTATTTCGGATAAACTGTTACTGTAAATGCATGTGTGGACGGACACCCTGAATTTTATTGGCCCCTTTATCAATCAACTGCATTCGGCGTCAACTTTTTCGACCAGTCATTTTATCATTTTTGACGAAACAATCATTCTCATGTTATATGGATTATCCACTATTCCTTATTTAATCTCTTTTTTTAAACGTCTACAACTGGAAGTATTCTCTACCGAGATTATGCTTCTTACACGTAACTAAAAGATCTTTATATTCACACAAGAATTTTATCACATTGTTAAATAGCTTAATTAAATTACATTGACTTCCAACATGATCTTCGTATCATTAACATTACATCCCCTCATGGCGGTTATATTTACAATTAGCTAATATTATGCGTGTGAAAAACAGAATCGTTCCATAACATAGAATGATTATGAGAAGGCATATTTGGTTAAGACGATATCCCAATTTCTTCAGTTGTCACTTCTGTTATCTGTATGGCCTTGTCTAAATTAAGTTGTAATTTATTCTAGGTCTTTTCTATTGATGTGGAAGTGGCAAGAACCACTCATTAGTCGGGTTCATTAATAGCCAAAGTAATCTTTATTAGGATATAATCAATGTGGATTCGAAACTGTAGTAGAAGTATACGGGAAATAACTAGAATCCACCCACAAACAAGAGTGTCGTGTTAGGAACACTAGAAAGGCGGGGTTAAAATTCAATCAGTGGAGATTGGTTCTCACAGTTGGAAGTGGGTGCTCACACGTGGTGTGCTAAACTTCTGTTATATAAAGAAAAGTGGGAAACTCACTTTCTCTCAATTCAGGGGCGAGCAACATCTAGAAACCGCTAAAGGGAACGATCTGTATAATTACTAATCCAAGTTGACAAAACCATGTACTTTTCGACACATCTCGCCGCCTTATTTTTCTCGTTGTTTGTTTTACTTATTCAATGTGCCACATCGGAAGAACTTTCATCATCATTACTAGAAGCGGAAGAAGAAAAACGTGCACCTGGATGGGGAAAGAGAAACATTCTGTCATCCTCAGAAAAAGACTTTTTAGAATCTAAAAGGGCCCCCGGTTGGGGAAAACGAAGTTTGAGTGCTTTATTAGACGATGCTGATGATTGGAGTGATGATGTATCTCAGGACTATTCTAAACGTGGATGGGGCAAGCGCAGTCTAGAATCATTTGCAGCCGATAAAAGGGCTCCTGGATGGGGTAAAAGAGCACCCGGATGGGGCAAACGTGCTCCTGGATGGGGCAAGAGAGCTCCTGGATGGGGTAAACGTGCTCCCGGATGGGGTAAACGTGCACCTGGATGGGGAAAGCGCGCTCCTGGATGGGGTAAAAGATCAAGTGATGAGTGTAGTACAGTGGAAAATGAATTCAACTATTACATCAGTAAAGCCGTACAGGTTAGTGTTTCTATATTTATTTCATACCATTTCATAAATTTTCAGAAACATGCAATAGAAATGTATCGGGCACACATTTATGTATGATCTATTGTCGTTGGGAAAATTCCACAATGAAAATTATAACCTGAAATATTTGCAGTTTATCTTCCTTTCCACTATTCTTTAATATCTTACGCCTTGTGACCGCAAATAAATTTCAATTGACATCCAATCAGATAAATTAGATATAAAAGTCACAAATCATAAAAAGCATTCAACTCTTATAACGGTGATGCTTAAAATTTGAATAATTAACTTAATTCGGTCATGGATAGATAATATCGGAATTGATTTAAATTATCTAACACTGCTCAATGAGCATGACGTATATAAAGTTCTATTCTGTTCTCCATAACGATTTTCAGACACTCTATTGATTAGAACGAGAAGCTAGGAACCCAAGAACTATGTCAAAAAATTCTCACAAAACTTTTTTTGCAATTTGTGGAAGACATTAATGTTAAGATTGAAATGAGTTCTCTGTGTATAGACTTGGCGCATTCGTTAAACCGACATTCTCTTGAATAATAGGTAAAATGAGAAATTTCACCTATCACGGTAGGAGAACTGTTCGCCCTTCAGCAACTTCACCTTCTTACCTCGAAACCTTACGTTCAGTTGTACTTCAAACTAAGGACAGTTGATCTACGTGTTTTCTACCCTTGTTGTTCCAAGCTTATGCAATAAGGAGTTCCCTATCAGCAAGGTAAAAATAACATCCCAGTTCACGTTACCTAGATTATGCTTCATCACACGTCCGAGCAAGCACTATAATGAAAAATGTCGAAGGTTCTTAAGTGTGGCTTTCATAATTGACGTATATTCACAATGTTGAATAATCTTGGAAAGAAATTTTACGTTTTTGTGTATGTTGCTATGGTTTCATTTAATTTTCTGTTCAATTCGTTATTTTGTTTGGCTGAAAATTCGTTACCTGTTTTTATATTTTAATTACCTGGAGATTATAAATATTTCACATACTGACATTTTCCCAACATTTAATGCTATTATATAATGCAGTTAAGATAGTTATATCATCTTGGACCTGGGTTTCGTTAGAAATTCGAGGAGTCCCTGGTATAGGATCAAATAATTTCTAGATGGTATGAGAAAAGAATTTGATTGTAAGTGGTGCTGGATGCGGTATGGAATAGTAACTCTAGGGTACTGGTTAGGGTATCAGATAGCACAGCTGTCCTTGGTATAGTGACACTTAGTAAAGTCGTGGTTTTGTATCGTATAGTAGTCCTGGGCATGACGCCCTGATTGGTGATAACTATGGTATCAGTTTAGCGGTGTTGGGAACAGTATTTTATTTGGTTTTGTATTAATAAGTGGTTCTAGACAAGGTACTTAATAATAAAGTCGTTTCTTGTATTGTATCCTAATATAGGAAAGTAGTCCTTGGTATGGTATACTGACTTTATATTGGAATGATTGGAGGAGCTCGAACGTGAGTAAAAAATCTAGCTTTAAGGCCTCAATCGATGGTAGTTAGTTAAGGTAGTTGATGGATTCTGGAACGTAACTATCTGGTAGCTTTTCTCCAGCCGAACGATATACTTTTCAGTCTTGTCAACTGTCATACTAAATGTTTCGTTGCGTTTTATTTCTAATGAGCAGGGCTTCTATGGTAATCTGTTCAAATGAAAGTCAATTGATTTAAACATGTTTTAAGTTAAAGTACATAATATTTAACATACAGGCACCATGTTCAGACGTTGACATGATAATCATTGTTATCCCAACGACAAACCACATTTATCAATTATACAATTCACTAAATCTAATAGAAAAGTTACTTACTCTTGATTTTATTAGATGGGTGAGGTTAGAGACACATTTGTTTCAATTACAATAACATTCGTCTGAATCGGCATTAAATATGGCTTATTTTCTATCAACGAACGTCTTTTTAATCTGGTTATCTGAAGACAATATACAGCCACTGGGTTTCGATTTCAACAAGTGTCCGAATTTTCATATTGTGATGTCGTCGTGGGAGATAATTAATTTGGAATCCACCCGTCTAAATCTTTAACTTACGTTATTGTCGAAATTTGATTTTAATATAGACAGCTCTGTGTTTAGTGTGAGGGCCTCTCATAGGTCCGCGCCTTTGATATGGTGCATGAATATGTTACAACGAAATTCATATTCAGTTGTGGCAATTTCTGCGTGCTATTATTACAATTTTTGGAATTGAAACTTGAAACTTATTTGGTTTATGTCAGTATTTGTAACGATTGTCAACGACAAACAAAACAATCTTTTCAAGATTAATTCTGTTATATTCCAAAGAATTCCGTTTTACTGTGCGACGGGCTGTCAAACTCACATCAATTTGCGGCTGTTTTATCTATTACATCGGAGAATTTAATATTTCAAAATACTAATTCCCATCGTTTTCATTAGATAAAATTCAAATTATACCCAATTTATGAGTCGACGGTTCAATTAAATTCTAGACAACCGAGATATCAAATTGATATATGGTCTGGTTTGCTTCTACACGTAAATTATAGCCTTATTTTCAATGAAATATGATATGTGACGGCTATTTTCTTTGTTCAGTTCTGAACAGAATTATTTTTCAATCTATGTGATATCGAGCGGTTTAAGGTCTTCAGAGATGACCACCGCTGAAGAAAGGTTTTACAAAACGGATTAGCTTTTTGGGAAGGGGTGACTTCTTCCAAATGAACAGGTCTGAGGTGAAATGAAATGAATGGAGTTTTACGTCCTGCTTTTCTGCACCATGGCTAATGAATACAGACCTAGACAGTGAAACGTATAGTTCATTTAGAAATTGGAAGAGGGGCTATCTGGTGGTACCGATTGTCTTTATGGTGTCCTTCTTTTAGTTTCATCTCCGATCAAGGTCCTCAATTTGTAAATGAGCTATCTGAAAAAGTTTCTTTTGATAAAGCGCTTCGTTACACGTGGACAACACCATGTAATTTTCTCCAAGCAGGTTCTACACAATTACTAGAAAGGAGACATGGTCGTGTCAGTTTTATTCTGTTGGAACATTTAAATGAATTCATTTAACGATCTAATTGATACTGTGATACTATGCTATTATAATGGATATACTCTGTTATTTTGACAGTATTTAGTAGTATTTAAGATAGACGAGCGCTTAAGAAAAAGGAAAATTTATGTTTAATGTCGTTCCTCCATACACGATCATAGATTTACCGTGGGGACCCGACTTCAAATCTTAGTGCTTCTATGAAATATAGGTCAGAAAGTACCTATTTAATTACTGGTTCTTAAAGCGTCCGTCCCATGTGACAAATTTAATTAGCATTGATGCCTTTATCGGAAACATTGAAAGACGTTGTAAATCTTTTAATGTAAAGTCAGGATTAAAATCAAATTAAGGTGTCCTTGCCTTGCTTGTACAGCAAATGTCACAAAAATCAATCCATCCTACGCGTATTAAAAAGTTCCAGCCTTACTTAAGAATGCCATACCAGATGTTAATTCCAGAAATGGAAGAATTTGTCTTAAAATAAAAGCTTACATTTCTTTGTCACAAAACTATTACATTCCCTTTTCATAGATTCTACATAGTATATCTATTACCCACCAGGCTATTGGTGGACACAATTCTTTCTGAAGTCTTATCATGATCAGCTTCGGTCAAGTTCTTAAAAGTCATTGCATTTCAATTCTATTACAATAATAGTGCGGAAGTTTTTGGGTTTTTTTTTCGGAAACTTGATACCACTTTATGATTAGGTTTGTCAACTCAACATCCCTGTTTTTAACCCAGATAGCTCTTTATGCTTATTTGTCTTGCTTTTATTATTGATATAGGGCATATCAGAAAATATATTGCCGATATCAAAAAACTACCGTATAACTATTTTCCCTGTTTTCGTTTTGTCGGTTACATCCGATTTTAATTTTCGATTTACGTAGAGGACTCGTTCATTTGTTATTCAATCATCACCATAATATATTCAGTAGGTTTAAATAACGTGGCATGAAATTTGAACTCACTGCGGTACAAGCATTTCACAAACGGGATGTCAGACCTCGCTGTTTAAATACGGATCATCTTCAACTAGTTCAATTCAAAACGATGAAATGTATTGATCTATATGTAATCAGGAATCCTATTCAAGCTAATCAAGTGGGCTAGGTCGAGTTTGATTGTCTTGATTATATGAGTATCGACTATATCTTCTTCATCCCCACCTTCTGTGTGGCAAGACAATTATTAATTGTTCTATGAATAAGAAATGAAATAATGTTTTATGAATGACCCAAGTGCAAATAAATTCATCTTCAGAACAGCGGATATTATTTATTGTTTCTTAAAGATTTCCTTTAAACATATATATAGGTAACAATTGTCTAGACATTTTTAAAAAAGTGAATCTGAATCCTAATGTTTTTAAATCATGAATAGCAAAGGTTAAATTTTATTCGATCACATGGAGAAAACCTTAAGTAACTATTCGCAAGATCCACGAGTGGACAAAATCAACTAGGTACATGTGTCCCACATGCCCTCATCAGTCATTCAAGATAAAAATGAAACACAAAAGCCTTATGTGTGCGGACAGAATAAAAGCCTTCTTTCATTGACATCAGTCGAAAGTGGTTGGATACACATAAAAGGGTGGATGCAGTCATAACTTAATTTCCATGGCTACTGTCAAGAGGGCTTTTATCTACAAATATGTTGTTGAACAAGTGACTTATCAATATTTGTCGTCCTGTAATCCACCATCTGCACATTTCATAAGCAGTAAAAAGGAACTCATAAAAAAACATTCTTCTGTCCAATATACATCGACACGAAAAGAAGTCATGTCCATCCAATCAATCAAACTCTTACAAATGATGATGACAAAGGTCCTTTATGAGAAAGTCATCATGGACCTCGACGTATTGAAGATTAGTATCTCAACGGTGCATCTGTAGCTGAAATTTTCCTATCACAG